AAAAAAAAAAAAAAAAGAAAACAGTGAAGGGGGAAATTATGAGACATACTAAGTACTTAATGTGTGCTATATGCTTGCTACTAGATACTTTACATGTATTAATCCTTGCAACAATCTTGTGGGGTGATAGAGCTCATATCTATCCATCTTTCATAGATCTGAGAACTAACTTGTCCAACATTTCATAGGCAAATAAAATACTAGAAATTTGAATCTAGCTTTTAGGCTATACTATAAGATAAACAGTTTTAAAGACAGAAAGCAGCGTTTGGGGAGTTTTATAATTTATTATATATCAGACCCAGTGTTTGTGAGAATTAAGAAAAAATAAAATATATATATATATATATATATATATATATATATATATATATATATGGCATGTAACCCAGTGCTGTAGCTGTCATTATCACTAAAATAATAATGCTCTGATCAAAGTACAATCATCTAATTGTTCAAATAGTGGAACACTTAAGTCTGTGTAGTACTTCATGTTTTTCCGATGGTTTATGTTAAATGTAAATGTTGATTTTTTAAAAAAATGTTTGTGCTTAAACAGTTGCTAAGCCAACTTAAAGGAAATTTAGAAGAAGAAAATCGACATCTACTAGATCAAATTCAGACATTGATGCTACAGAACAGAACACTTTTGGAGCAGAATATGGAAAGCAAGGATCTTTTTCATGTTGAACAAAGACAGTACATGTAGGTACCAAATAATTTTCACTCTGAAATATGTTACTCATGATTTTATCGTTGCCATACCCAGTGGCGGAGAAAATTCATGCTAATTTTTATTGATTTTCAACATTATTTCAACAAGTATTTTTGAATGCTTATATTCTAGGCACTATCCTGATAACCACTATCCTAATACTAACATGAAAACATGTGAATCTTGCTCTTAAGGAATTAGTAATATAAAGCAAGATATATCAATAACATTTAAATACAGTAATTCTGTATAATGGAAGTATATGTAGGAGGCCATAGAAATATAGCATATATAGGGGCAGGAGTATCTTAGTCTGGAAGAGGCAAGGTGAACTTTCCAAAGATGAGACTTGAGCTGAGACTTACAGATTTAATAAGAGTTTGCTTAAGGAGACATGCCAGGCCAAGAGAGCTGCAATACAAAATCATGGAGGTGTGATGAAAGTATGTTGTGGTGCTGTATAGGACCTAAAAATTAACTGTGCTTTCTGGAGCAAAATTGAGGAAAGGAGGGGTGCAATAGAAAAGTGGCTAAATAGGAGCCAGTTTACAAAGGTTGTTCTATGCCATACAAAGGAGTTGAGGTCAAGCTGTAAGACTTGTGAAAGAGAATTGACAGGCTTAATTATTGGTAAGTTGTTATCTCCAGAGAGTTAAAGAATCTGTTAAAACTCAGATTTTGGCCTAGGCAGCCCAGTGGTAGTCTTTGTATTATTACATGTTGATTCATCTTTACTCAATATATCTCTTCGCTTTTCGCCCCACAAATGAGAAGCACCATAGTATAATAGAAATAGCTCAGATGTTGAAATCAGCTTCTGATTCATGTCCCAATTCATCCACTCACTAGCTATGTGACTACAGACAAGTCACTTCATTTCTTTGATCATTAGTTTCTTCTCTAAAATACAGGTAACACTTACTTTCCAGATTATTCAAGGAGTGCATGAATTAGTATTCTGTACCTTTCAGACTTGATACACAGAAATAGCCAGGGCACATGTGAAACAAGGATACAGCTTACATTTTTCTGAAGTACTGGTTTTACCAAAAAATTTCAGGCAGGGAACATTATTTCTATATTAATACATAGGTATATCATGGAACAAAGGCAGAATTTGTGTAAACTTTCAAAGTAAATGTAAAACCTCAAAGAAATTTCACATTTGTGGCTGGACACCTTGGGCTCCACCTTTAGTCCTTTCAGTCTTTTCTGGGTTATGTATTCCTTTACTTGCTTTCAAAAGAAGCTTTGTTTTAGGTTAAGAAGCTTTGAGTATATATAAATCTTTTGGCATTTGAGTCTCCTGTCCCTTAAGCAGAGGCATTATCCAAAGCTTTGTTGTCTTACTATTCTGACCCTTGGTGACTAATACGTTTCCAGGTGAAGGTGGTTATATCTAGATAGTTGACTTCCAAAGATTATTATCTATTCTGACTTACTGAATTTAAATTACAAGTATCCATCTTGCACGTCAGGTATTTCTAGCTAAATGCCTCTATCACATGGTCCTAGCAAGATGGCAGTGGACAGGCAGTACTGAGAATTTGAAGGTTCTTAATGATATTTCAACCAGTAAAAGAAATGAATTGGGAGCTATGGCCTTGGTTAATACAGCCATTAACTTTTCAAATGTTACCTCTTCTGCAGGCCTCAGATCCAAGCAGTTGGTTAATAAATATAGGCTGTCTGCTGTTTGTGCTGTGGTATAATTGTTGGCAGCATCTGTTCACAAGGCATCTCCTACCGAATCTCTCAAGTTAGTTTCTCCCAGTCTCCACCACTGTAATTCAGCCTTTCCTCTCAAATAGACTACCCCATTAGCCTCCTGAATGTTTTCTTATCTCCAACCTTTTTTTATTTTTCAATCTTGCTCTGTCAGCCAGGCTGAAGTACAGTAGTGCAATCTCAGTTCACTGCAAACTCTGCCTCCTGAGTTCAGGCAAGTCTCCTGCCTCAGCCTCTTGAGTAGCTGGGACTATAGGCAAACACTGTCTCATGCTGCTAATTTTTGTATTTGTTGTAAAAACAGGGTTTCACCACACTGGCCAGGCTGGTCTCAAATTCTTGAGCTCAAATTATCCACCCACCTCCACCTCCCAAAGTGCTGGAATTACAGGCCTAAGCCACCGCACCCGGCCTTATCTCCAATCTTTCTGATATATCCTGTTCCATCATTAGGTTAAACTACTTTAAACAAAGATTTCTTACCACTTTGTAATGAAACTTTCAATTCTTCTGTTTTCCTACTGAGCAAAATCTAAAACCAAAACTCTACCTCTCTACTTCCTCTCGGCCTACAACATTCAAGCTAAACATAATTTAGCATTTTTTTAACTTCCTATACTACACCAACATAATTTAGTATTCTTATCTTCCCCTTTCAGCCTATCTAATAATGGCCTTTTTCTTCATGGGGATTTATTTCGTGACCTAAGAGGGATATATTCACCTTCTATAAGTTCCTGTTGTACTTGCACAGTATTTTATTTTGGTACTGTTACTTCCTTGGATTATATAGTCATTCTATACACACACATACACACACACACACACACACACACACACACACACACACACTATATGTTATCGTAATCTATGGGTATATCTTCTCCTATATTAGAAACACAGCTATTTATCGTTCATCCTTATACACACCTCATGCCTTCTTCATTGTAAATGATCACTAATGTTTCTTAAGTAAATAGTATTCTTTGGTACTGTGGGGTTTTTTTAAGAGACATTACTTTAGTAGCCTTTGATGTTTCTCTATTTAGTAAATACTATCGAGAATATAAAAATGAGACTAGGATGTGGTGACTCATACATTGCTGGAGTCAGGAAATAATTCTCTACAAGTAAATGAAGCCTGAGTAATTTTGTCGAAAAGAAAAAATCTATTTGCATAAATGTGTTTGCAAGATAATTCATTATATCTATAATTGTAAGCAAACTATCCAATGTTTTTATTTTTTGCTGCTATAAATTGTAATCGATCACCTTTCTTCCAAAAAAGGAAAAAAAAAATGTTGCAAATTTTTTAATCAAAAAGGGGAACATGGAAAAATTCCCATTGTTACTACCTAATATAATCTTAGTTGCCAACCATGGTATCTATATTTTTTTATGTTTTGGGAAGAAGTTAGATCATAGTCACAAAACAGTTTAATATTTATAGCTGTACATAATATGATACCTGTCCTAAAAGGTAATTTTTATTTTTATAGTGATAAGTTAAATGAATTAAGACGTCAGAAGGAGAAATTAGAAGAGAAAATTATGGATCAGTACAAATTTTATGACCCATCTCCTCCTAGAAGGTACCATTAACCAAATTTTATGAATTCTTTTTTTGAAAAAAACTTATTTTTAATATTGCAGTGACTTCTAATTTTGTGAAGGATTTGTATGTTGAATTTTAAACTAATAACAATTTTTTAAATTCTGTTAGGAGAGGCAACTGGATTACTCTAAAAATGAGAAAATTGATAAAGTCTAAGAAAGATATTAATCGGGAACGTCAGAAATCTCTAACATTAACACCTACCCGCTCAGACTCCAGTGAAGGATTTCTTCAGCTCCCCCATCAAGACAGTCAAGATAGTTCTTCAGTAGGTTCAAACTCTTTAGAAGATGGCCAGACCTTGGGGACCAAGAAAAGCAGCAGTGAGTGCTTAAATTCTTTAAACATAGTGGTTATTTAGAATCTTTTCTAAAGATTTTTTTAAACTTCAGTAGTCTTTGGGGGGAATAGTCTGATGAATGGCATTTACTTTTAATTTCATATGATTAATAAAATTAATTGTGTACTGCATTAGTGTATAACCACACAATTTTCTGAAATACATCATACACAGAAATACTATCATTTGGCCAGAGGGGTAAAATATTGCAGAAAGAAAGTTGAAATAAGAGCTGGAATACCTCTGTCATTTGCTATTTCTGTTAATATGGGCAAGCCTTTTACCTTTGCTTCATACTTCACAGAACAGTTTTAAGGAGCAAGTGAGAAATATGAGATGTCATTTTCATAATCATGTATAACTTAATCAGAATAATAAGATCTTTTATAATGAGGTTTCTGCTCATATACTTTGATGGCATCATATTGTAACAAAGTTACATTTGGGGAAGCAAAGAAAAATAGGTATGATTTGAAGAGGTGTTATTCAGTGATTTAGAAATTACATAACATTAAGAAAAGGATATACTAAAATAGAGCGGTACTGGCTGGGTGCCATGGCTCACACCTGTAATCCTAGCACTTTGGGAGGCCGAGCTGGTGGGTCACTTGAGGTCAGGAGTTCGAGACCATCCTGGCCAACATGGTGAAACCTCATTTCTACTGAAAACACAGAATCAGCCCAGCATGGTGGTGTGCACCTATAATCCCAGCTACTTGGGATGTTGAGGCAGGAGAATCCTTGAACCTGGGAGGCAAAGGTTGAAGTAAGCTGAGATTGCACACTACACTCCAGCCTGAATGACAGAGCAAGACTCTGTCTCAAAATAAAATAATAAAATAGAGATGTGGGGGCCAGTTGAAGTGGCTCATGCATGTAATCCCAGCACTTTGGGAGGCCAAAGTGGAAGGATCACATGAGGCCAGAAGTTGAAGTCCAGCCTGGGCAACACAGTGAGACATTGTCTCTATTACTTAAAAAAAAAATTAGGTGAAGAGATAAACGTTGTATATAAACTAGTGATGTAATTTTTATTACAAATTTAGAAGTACCACGTAATATGCCCTATACAATTATAACCTCTTAATTTCATTACTAGTATGCTTACATAGTAACAGCAAAGTAAAAGCTGTAGAAGTATATTTCAAGAAAATGAGAAAAAAATTTTAAAGATGTCTAAGAAGTTGACTACTACAAAGTTCTTACACAATATGTGAACAAGATACTTTGAATCCTCTCACATTATCACCAGTGTCACTAACTGAACACACACACACACACACACACACACACACACACACACACACTTCATTCTTTTGAAATAGCAGATAAATGCAACTACTGCTTCTCCCAGGGGTAGACTCTCCAAATGGGCAACTCTCAAAACACTCAAAAAACTATTTATAGCATTTGGCTTCAGGCAAATTATCTCTGAAAATATAGTATTTTAGGGTATAAAATACTCTAAGATATTAGGCATTAATTGTGGGGTATAGGCTGGGCGCAGTGGCTCATGCCTGTAATCCCAGCACTTTGGGAGGCTGAGGCAGGTGGACCACTTGAGGTCAGGAATTCAAGACCAACCTGGCCAACATGGTGAAACCTCATCTCTACTAATACAAAATTAGCCCAGCATGGTGGAGTACCCCTGTAATTCTAGCTACTCAGGAAGCTGAGGCAGGAGAATCGCTTGAATCTGGGAGGTGAAGATCGCAGTGAGCTAAGATTGCACCACTACACTCCAGCCTGGGTGACAGAGCAAGACTTCATCTCAAAAAAAAAAAAATCTGAAATATTTCAGAATGCAAATGTAGCAGCCTAAAAACTAGAGTCCATAGGTAAGCAATAAAAAAAGTCATACGCATTTACATATGTATTTATATGTATATATTAGTCTCAAAACAGTTTAATTCTATATCCACACATAAAATTATTGTTACCCCGGGTCTTTTGCTGTCTGATTTTGTCCACCAAGTAAATCTACATAAATCCTTAAGTAGTTCTGTTGTAGAGAGATCACCAAGTTTTCTTTAAAAAGTGGCAGATAAGTTAATTTTATCTGTTATCTTTAGATATAAAATATCTGGCATCTTACTAAATAAGAAATGAGACCAGGTACAGTGGCTCACACCTGTAAACCCGCACCTTGGGAGGCCCAGGCGGGCAGATTATGAGGTCAAGAGATTGAGACCATCCTGGGCAACATGGTAAAATCCCATCTCTACTAAAAATACAAAAATTAGCTGAGTATGGTGGTGTGTTTCTGTAGTCCCAGATGCTCGGGAGGCTGCAGCAGACGAATCATTTGAACCCGGGAGGCAGAGGTTATAGTGAGCCAAGATCCCACCACTGCACCCCAGCCTGGCGACAGAGTGAGACTCCATCAAGAAAGAGAGAGAAAGAAAAGAAGGAAGGAGAGAGGCAAGGGAGAGAAAGGAAAGAAAGGAAGGAAGGAAAGAGAAAGAGAGAGAAAGAGAGAAATGGTTGGCCAGGCATGGTGGTTAACTCCTGTAATCCTAGCACTTTGGGAGGCTGAGGCGGGTGGATCAC